CTTTGATCGTGGAAATAAAGCATTTTTGAAATTTTTTCCTCCTTTTTCTTACAATGAAACAGTGATGAGGCTTGCATCCTGGAGACAACAAATTTTAGTCATCCTTTTGACTTCAGCAGTTCCATCATTTTTTTCCTTTGTATGGTGGTACTTCTAGTCATAAGAGCAAGAAAAATATGGCTCTAATACAGCGATGGCAAACTATTTGGGCTCAGCTTGTCAATTCAAAAAATGCTTAGCTTGACTCTGCTGGTGTCTCTGTGTGTCTTTCTGTCTCTCTCTCTGTCACACACACACACACACACACACACACACACACACACACGAGAAACAATTCATAAAAAGAGTAATAAATTATTAAATAAATACATACATAATTGTAAGAGCCGTGGTGGTGCAGTAGTTAGAGCGCAGTATTGCAGGCTAACTCTGCCAACTTCCAGCACATTTGTTTTATAACTAGTAATACCCATGACATCCAGAACCCTCAAAATGCCAAATATAGCCACGAGCCAAAAAGGTTGGAGAGCTTTATGTAGATAAATATATGAATGTTAATAGATGGAACTGACAGAAGTCGTTTTTAAGATGAAGTGAACTTCAGACAGAAGTGAGTTATTTCCTGACAGTTAGAACAATTAATCATTGGAACAACTTGCCTCCAGAAGTTGTGAGTGCTCCATCTCTAGAGGTTTTTAAGAAGAGATTGGACAATCATATATGTCTGAAAGGGTATAGGGCATTCTGCCCAAGCTGGGGGTTGTACTAGAACAGTGTTGCTGGCTGTGGAATTCTGGGAATTGAAGTCCACATGCCTTAAAATTGTCAAGATTGAGAAACACTGTACTAGAAGATCTCCAAGGTCTTATTCGATCTGAAGGATATAAACAATTGAGTGGCTGGTTAGAATAGCAGTTTCTTCTATTTTGATTGCAAGAGCTATTAAGCAGTGAAAGAGCGGACCTACTTTTCAAGCAAAAGTGGGAAGACCATTTGTCTAGAATAGTACAGGTCGTCTTGACTTAGAACAATTTGTTTAGTGACTGTTTGAAGTTACAGCTGCACTGAAAACAGCGACTTATGACCATTTTTCACATTTATGACCATTGCAGCATCCCCGTGGTCACATGATCAAAATTCAGACACTTGGCAACTGACCCATATTTATGACTATTGCAGTGCCCAGGAGTCATGTGATCACCTCTTGTGACATGACAAGCAAAGTCAACGGGAAAACCAAATTCACACATCGTGTTACTAACTTAACAACTGCAGTAATTAACAACTATGCCAGGAAAGGTCATAAAATGGGGCAACACTCACTACCAAATTTCTCACTTAGCAACAGAAATGTTGGGCTCAATTGAGGACAACTTGTATGAGGATTCCTATCCTAGGCAAGGGATTAGATTAGAAGACATATAAGCCTCCCCCAACCCTATAATTCTAGTCTAGTTTTTTAAAAAACCTATGACTTCTCTTACACATAGTAATTCTAGACGGCTCTGAATAATATTAAATAAAAGCAAAATAAATTAAACTGACCAAACCCAACGACAGCATCCCAAACACAATTCCACAAGGTCCCATGAACTCTACATTTATGCTTGGCGTTTGCAGCGTTCACATCTGTCCTAGTCCAATGCCTGGCAAAGAGTCAGATCTTCACAGTTTTACCAAGGACTTGTAGGGCAAGGGCCCTCTGAATTTCAGAAGAGAGGCTTTTCTATAGAATTGGACCAGCCATAGAAAAAGCAACTCTCTGAGGTCCTACCAGATGGCAACAGTTAAGGAAAGGGACTTGGAGCATGCCTATCCTGTATAAACTGTGGTCCCGCAAATGGCCCTATGACGTTTAGGTAGGTAGGTAGGTAGGTAGGTAGGTAGGTAGGTAGATAGATAGATAGATAGATAGATAGATAGATAGATAGATAGATAGATAGATATTTTTACTGTGGGCACAATGGCACACATTAAAATGAAATTTATTTGCTTGCTCTCAAAGTGTAAATGTACATAACACACATTTAAACATACTATATACAACTTATGTATAGACCTACACCCTTACATATAAGTAACATAAATATTAATCGCTGTCCATCTTGAATACATAATGGAAGGAAGATTGGTTGCAAAGTTACTTTGTCATCACTAATTGTAACCTGAACAGTCACTGTCTGAGGTAGTCGCTAAATGAGGACCACCTGTACATTTTAGGAGATTTTTTAAAAATGCTAGCTACAGAAAATACAGGGCTTCTGGAATATGCAATGAGATTGGGCAAAGGAAATATTTTTATTGGCCCCTCTTGCCTTCCTTTCAAGCTCCTTTTTGCTTTGGCCACAGGTCTAACTCAAAGCGGTTGTGCACTTCTGGGTCTTCCTGCCCTTTTGCATTACAGGATATATAAGCAAGATCCCACACACAAATTCACAATCTTCCTTTATTAATAAAGCAAAAATGTTCCATGTTTTTGGTTCTCTACAGCTTCTGTGATACTAAAACAGTTTGCCTGTTTTCTTTTTTTTCTGTCTTAGTAGTGTTCTTTAGAAACATTGCACAGCTGATATTTAACATGTCCAGACAAGAGTTAGGATTCCAGTTTTGCTTTCAGATCTGGAATAAGCACAATACTCCATTGTTAACTGGGCTGACTGCAAAAGGGATGGGTTGGGACTGTTGAAATAAAAATAAACAAAAAATTGTCCAGATCTAATTTCTGATTTTGAATGCCAGGCCCTTCTGTTGTAATCCTTTAGGGTGCCAAGCGCATATAGAATCCCAGGGCAATTTAAAGGCAAGGTAGGAGTAAACTGTAACTTAATATTATATATTTTTGTTAGATTCAGAATTCTCCTTTCTTCTAGGAATTCAAGACGGTGGACATTTATTTATCTACAATAATTTGAACACTTCTCCTCCAATTTGATGCCCAGTTGCCCTTTAAGATAGGTTGGATTAAGAGATAGGGGCTAACCCAAAGTTACTCAGTAAGTTCTCGTGCCCTTAAGTATGGATTTCTTGAGTTCTGTGTTCGTACTCCAGTACTTTAACTGCTACTACACAGGACTTCCTGGCTATGTTGATGGAGAATTATGAGATGTTCATGATAACTGGAAGGTACCATATTCACTGAAGGAGACTGAAGAAGTTAATGTCCAGAATTTTGACTGGGGTGAACTTTGGCATGAAAACTTTTTCTTTGAACCAATCACATTCTTTCAGCCTAACCTTACTTCATAGCGAGCTACTGGAAAAATGAAAGGAGGAAGTTCCTTGTATCCTGCTTTGAGGCCCTGAATGTAAGGAAATCAAATAAATAAAATTTCAAAAGCTGGACTTGATCCCAAAGTGTCTTGTTTAATTATTATTCTTACAAAAGTTTTATCAAGAGTTCATTGTGTCTTCACCAATTTTAAGTCCTCCAAACATTGTGGAACCTACCCCTGTAATTGTAACTGGGAATTAAGGTATCTTCTATCCAAAGACATTATATTTTTATTTATTTAAGATACTATTTATTTATTTGAAATTACATGAATGTTAGTATCACTTTATAATGCCTTGGTAAGACCACACTTGGAATATTTCATCCAGTTTTGGTCAATCTAAAAAAAAATGTTGAGACCTTAGAAAGAGTGCAGAGAAGAGCAACAAAGATGATTAGGGGACTGGAGGCTAAAACATATAAGGAATGGTTGCTGGAATTGGGTATGTCTAGTCCAATGAAAAGAAGGATTGGGATGACATGATAGCAGTGTTCCAATATCTAAGGGGCTGCTATAAAGAAAATGGGAGCAACCTATTCTCCAAAGCACCTGAAGGCAGGACAAGAAGCAATGGGTTGAAAGTAATCAAGGAGAGAAGCAACCTAGAACTAAGGAGAAATTTCCTGACAGAACAATTAATCAGTGGAATGACTTGTCTCCAGAAGTTCCGGGTGCTCCATCTCTAGAGGTTTTTAAGAAGAGATTGGACAATCATTTGTCTGAAATGATACAGGGTCTTCTGCTTGAGCAGGGGGTTGAATTAAAAGACCTCCAAGATCTCTTCCAACTCTTGTTATTCTGTTAACATTTATATAGCCGTTTTAACGTCTTAAGTCCCTGGATATTAACACCATCTCTTGGGAACTTCTGGCGCATGATCGACCAACATGGCGCACCTTGGTGTACCAGGGTTGCCAGACATAGGAACACAGAAGGACAATCTTGGCACAAGAAAAGCGAGCATTCCGCAAAGCCAGAGCTGCAAATGCTGAAGTAACAGTGTCTACATTTCTTTGTTCAGTATGTGGCAGAACATTCCGTGCTAACATCGGTCTTATTAGCCACCTACGGACACATCGTTGATGGCCCATAACCCACAAGATGTCAAGGTCTTCATCGAAATCAATGGACGAACAACGCATATAGCCATCTACTAACCAACTCCTGAGTGGCTTCCAATTAACCATGAAGGGATGCTATCTATTAGTGCTAGTAGCACTTGAGTTTGATGGATAAATTGTCTTACTTTGTACAAGAAAAATCCTGTATTGCAGTAAAAAAAAAATTATTGACATTTACCCCTTTTGTTTAGATTTTGTCCAAATGCTAGGTATTTTGATAGGCAATTGGATTGCCGTGCTCAGGGATTCCTCTCTTTCATAGTTTTGAATTAAGGCTGTGTAGGAGATGTCAGAAGTTAAGCCTATATGTCTCTGTCATTGTGTCTTTAATCTTAGCTATGATCAATGTGGTATCCTGCAGATATGTTGTAAACTAAAGGTCAGGCTGCTCGATATGTCTGAAAGGCACCAGGTTGGAGAAGCCACCTTGGCATTGTCATTTTCTGTGTCCTCCAGAGAATTTAGTCACAATGTTCCATCTGCCACTTCCCTGACTGCATTTGTTCTCATCTCCTGTAACTTGAATGCTATGTTCTTTTTATCAAGATAAAAAGTTCAGTATCTGCTAGTTGCCTCTAACTTCATCCCTTCCCTGTTTGCTTTTCAGAAATGCCCTTCAAAGAATTATATAAAACACTACGGGTGCTGTGATGTCTGAAACTGCGCAGAGGGACTGCTTTCTGAAGGTAGTCCTTAAATTTACCCCCCAAAATTTGTCTGTGAGCAGTTCAAATTATTTCTTATTGCTTTCTTGGGGTTGGACAACAGAATCTGTCCTAGCATGTACAGTGATTCTTTTGAAACTGGAAATATGCTACATCATAACGTGATTCACTTCTTATGACGTAAATAGATCTAAAGAATAAGCCATGGTTTGTTTTAGGACAGTAAATCACACAATTTACTGCTGGTTTACTGATTGCACTTTTGTTTTAGTATGAGGTATAAGTAGGAATGCAGGGTTTGTGTGAGGTTTCTGAGAATGTTTTTGTGTTGTGTCCAAGCTTTAAAGCATTGTACAGAGGTACAAGGCAAGTATAGTTTAGAAAGGAGAGAAATCAAGGTCAAGCAGATGTTTATTATCTGTAAGACTTGGAGCAGGAATTATACTGGAACCACTTTCATGTGAGGGAGAATACTGTTAAGAATATGAGCTGGGAGAGCATATCTCATAATTGCAGGAGAAGTAGGAAGTGCCAGGAAGGCCATGTATGTTTGGCAGTGAGTAACACTGCACTTCCAGCAAGGCTGCAGCAAGTTTTAAGAGATGGGTTAAAAACATCTCTAGTCAGTTGTCAAAATCAGCTACCAAATACAGCAGGTCTTTTCCGTGCGTATCTATCTGCACATTCATACAGTTTTCTTATTGAGGGCCATCACAGAAATGTATTAATCTTGATTTTGGATGATGTGTGAAGAGAACTGAGTGACCATTGCATTTCCCCCCTGTTATCCGTTTTTGGTATTAAAATAAAAACTTATTTGTGGTTACATTTTCATTTGCTTAAAAAATAATGAAAGCAAACCAGCAAATATGGAGGAAGTGGTGGCTCAGAGGTATACTGCTGTGAGAAATAAAAGAAACAACTGAAGTCTCCTGAGAGACTAAAGGTGTGCATATACACAGGAGGTATTCATCACATGTCTGCAGGATTTTCTTGCACTGACTTTCTCACTTTCTAATCAGTTGTGAATGAATGAATGAATCTCTGCTCCTCCAAATGCTTTTAGTGCAAAGGTGCCTCTCAACGCTTAGTTTCTCTGTAATTATGGCATTAGTGGAACTTAGGAGAAACTGACCTCAAAGGGATTCATTTACTGGTTAAATAAAGGCTCCCGTTTTCTACCATTGCTTGTTCTCTGCCAGGTGATCAGAAGGAGATGTTTGAACTGTTCCACATATTTTGTGCAAGAAAGTTGCTCTGTAACTTTTTGTAATTAAGAGGTGTTGATGCAATAAGTCTTGAACACACCTGAAAGCTATTAGTAAGCCATGGCATTGGTTATCCATGCAAGTTTATATTAATTGTTTGATTACTGGCTTTCATGAATTTAGAATCTCATCTGGCATACCAAGGGGGGCATCTATAAATCAGAAGAAAATTTCATGTTTTTATGTCTTCGTGTGTTACCAAGTTGCTGTATTTTATTTTTGGCCCACTGATGCGCCTCACAGAATACATGTAGGCAGTTGGGAAAGTAAATTGGCAAATTTATTTTGTGTGTGAACAAACAAGAAAGTGGTTGGGCACTTCTGTCCTGAATTCATGTATTCTCTTACTCAAGAAAGAAAGATAAAATATGAAATGTATAAAAAAGGGATAGTGGATCTATAGCTATCCAGATACTGTTACACTACAAATGCCACCATCCCTCACAGTTGTCCATACTGATTGGGGCTGCTGAGAGCTGTTGTTTAGAAATATCTGTAAGGCCATAGATTTTCCACCTGCTATAACAGCGCAAGTGTCTGCCCTCCAAAGAACTCTCCTTTGGTTATGAATTATTTGAGCTTTTTTCTTTACTAATGAAGGGGGCAGACATGAAGCTAAGGTGCCACAGCAATCCCATCCAGAGAAAAGATGATTTTTCTGCATCAGGATTGATGCTTTTTCATTCATTCATTCATAGGAAATGGAAATGGAGGTTGATTATAAGGGAATAAAGCCAGTCTCTAGTTCTTTGCTGCCTCAGATTCATTAATGTCTTTTTATTTTGCTCAGTTTTCCATGCTGCATAATGTTTCAGTAAACTGTTCCTGAACAATTTGCTTGTTTATGTTAAGCAGGCTCAGGATTTCCATTCAAAAGTTTTAAGATTCCCTCCAGTGTATCTATTAAAAGGATCGATTGATAAATAACTGGGGAGAAATTTTTTTCAAAATAACTAATATTAACAAAATGTAGATTTAACTTAGTGTAAAGGAAATGGGCAGTCCAGAAGGTCCATGAAGTACCGGTCTCATACTTGTGGCGCCTAAGCACCTCTCCTCACAAGTTTACAAATTCAGAATTTAGTGACAAAAATTCTATTTATAGAATAAAATAATGGGTAAACAGAGCTATACTTGTATAATTTTGTGTGTGTGTGTGTGTGTATGTGTGTAGTTATTTTAATATTATAAACTGCCCTGATCTTGGGGTAAGATGGGTGGCAAATAAATTTAATAAATATATAAAATAAATGAATAATAGAAATAATAATATAATAGCCTTTTGATGACCACAGGAAAAGGGAGGAATAAGCAGTGAATCATCATGTTTGATTATAAAACTTGCAATTTTTTTTCAATGGGAATTTGGGGGTATTTAGAGAAATGTGAGTGCTTAGCCATCATGTATCTTTTTATTCTGCCCTCAAGAAAAAAAATGCCACATTTTAATAGACAATGTATTGAGTCATTGGTCACGAAAAAAAGAAAGAGCTGTAGGCCATGTGTGGCACTCAGGCTGCAGGTAGCCGCTGCGTATAATACATCTTTAAAAACTTGGGAGACACCCAGTCCAAATGCCCTACATGCTATGTCCATGGATTTTGTAAAGAGGAAATCATGTGTGTATGTGAGGGCTCTGTTGCTTTCAAGAAGAAAATCTTGTATATTATATAATTGATAGCAGTCTGGTCATTGCTTTATCTCTTTGTTGAACTTTTCTGATTTCTTCAGGGTGTGATGTGACTCCAGTGACTTTCAAAGGTTCTTATAGCCCTGGTCTGATACTTCTGACTCCTAAGCAACCCCCAGTTTCCAAAATCAGAATTTAGTGGCAAAAATACATATTTGCTCCCTTTGACAAAACAAGGGATAGAACAGATGTCTATGGAGATTCTCAATCATCCAGGTCATGATTGTTCCAAAGGTGCTTTTTCCAAAAGAAGCTTCTTGGGTGAGAAGCGAAACGTTTTCAAGGAGAAACAAAACCAAGATAGTCCAGTTGCTTTGTGAAAAAGAACCTTTCGGACAGAACAAATGATGTTGATGATGAAAACTTCCAGTGTTGGAATATTCACAGCTTCTGGAGGCAGGTTGTTCCACTGATTAATTGTTCTAACTGTCAGGAAATTTCTCCTTAGTTCTAATGTTTTAACCCCCTCCAAAAACTTCCCAAAACAAAATGGAACATTTCAGAGGTATCCAGCTCAGGGATGTCAGTTACAAGAGATCCTCTGTAGCTCTTGGACCTGAAAAAAGGCAGAGATCAGTGGTCATCATTGCTTTGAAGTGATGCCTCTAAGCGTTGGACAAAGGCACTGGGGCTAGGACTGGTTTTGGTCCTTTCCGCAATGATGTCATGTGATGTACATAATGGAAATATAGCTAGTTCCCAGGTTAAGAACAAATGCCATTCCTAACTCAATCTTTAACTCAAATTTGTATGTAAGTCAGAATTCATACTTGTAAATGGACAGCCTATTGTTAAAAATGGGAGTTAGCATTGTCCTTGAGTCGATGAAGCACTGAAGCAGTACGGTGCTTCCAAGAATTGCTGAAAACAAGCTGTATATTAAAAACATGTGGTTTCAGCAGTTCCTGAAAACATTGCGTGGCTTCAGTGCTTTGTCAGCACGAGGAAAAACACCATTTGCCATTTTTAGTAATGGGCAGCCTTTTTGTACTACAGATTGTCCATATGTTGGATGTATTTAACCCGGGGACTCCCAATAGAGAAAATTTAGTCTATGTTCACTATTCCTTATAGCAGTATTTAAAGGATGACTAATTCTGTATTGTGGAAAACAATCAGCCAAACTCTACTGAAAATTGAATTGCAGCTGTTATTTTGATAGTGGATGGCAGCTGTAAATGGTCTGCATTCCCCAGAGGTATTGGTCAGAGAGCCAGTTTGGTATAGTGGTTAAGGGGCTGATCCAGAAACCAGGAGATTGTGACTTCTAGTCCTGCCTTAGGCATGAAAGTCAAATGGGTGATTACAAGTCAGTCACTCTCTCTCAGCCCACCTCACAGGGTTGTTGCAGGGAAAATAGGAGGAGGAAGGAGTATTATGTTTGTTTGTCACCTTGAGTTACTTATAAATTAATAAAGAAGGGATAAAAATCTAATAAATATATTCTTTGCTGCATCAAAGATAATGTCTTTGCACTCAACCATCTTTGTGATTAGAATATCCTTGTAATGTCAGTCTGCTTGCTCGGGACCAAAACATGAAGGTGAACCAGCTACTTGGAGAGTTGTCTTTCTTGTACTTCCTGAGAAGGTACAACTCTCTTCCTGTTGATGAAAAAAAACTTTCAAAACTATGAATATGCTTGAAGAGATGTCCCAAACATCAGAAATAGCCTCTGAACTACATCAGAGCACGTCAAGCTCTAGATGTGTCTCTTGTGCAGATGTAGCACCACAGTGTGGACTTTTTCCAATATTTTCCACAAGGCTTTGCTTTGATGAGACCATTTGGTTGGCTTCTAGTGAAAATGCTTCCACTTCACATACGTCATTCTTATAGCTTCGTTTTGCTGAACTTTGACCAGAAGATCCGGTTTCCTGGGTTTCAATCTTAATTGTGGACTCTGTCTTATCAAACATTTTCATTCATAGGGACAAAGTCCACAAGCTATTTTCCAGATTCAAGAAATTGCTCAAGATGACAGATGTCAACCTGTCTACAATTCAGAAGTATTCAGGATTTCTCCTTCTGGGGTCAAAGACTACCATGTCATTTTGAGTTAG